CATTACAGAATCCACATATTCCTGCCAGTTTTAATATGTATTTTGTAATCAACAAGTGTGTAACACCGGTCAAAGTTTGACACTTCTCTGGCCATTATCTCCGTAACCATTCAACTTTGGACATAGGTGTTTTGGGTTATATCGGCATACTTTAACATAAGGAACACCCTCCCGAAGTTTGGTCCATTCCTCCTGGGACACCCTGTATATGAAAAAAAAAATGTGATCCTAATGTATAATTTACTGGGAAAAAAGCTACATGGTAACATAATCAGCCAATATTTTCTAAAAAACATGTTTACCAATACTTTTACTTTTAGTTTCAGCCTGAAGGTCAAAATGTACAATGCACCATAAAATGTGCAACTTTTGACAAGTTGTTTGCCAGTGTGCATACTGGCTGAGAAGAACCCTGAACACAATCATGAAAGTGTTTCTTTGTACCATGGCTTAATGGAGCCAGAACCATTTCATTTCTTCCAATAGTAGTATACCACTTCTGTATTAAAATCACAAGCAGTTTAATACAAATCAGTTGACTTTGAAGGATCTTTTTAAAACTTATGTGTGCCTTTACTTTTCCCTCATTTAAGACATGTTGTGTAGTTATTAATTTTATATGTGTATCATTTTATTTTTAAAATTTTTACCTTAATATTTACATAAATTTAACCATTTTAGAGCACAGATTTTGTAGTAAGCACACAGTATAATAATTGAGATCTACTTAAAATTTTATAACTACGTACATACTGTTTACAAATGCTTACAAATTGTTGAAATGTAAAGTATTTCTAATTGGGATATTTTTTAAAACATTTGTGACATTTACATTGATCAGAATAAACTTTAGTTCTAATTTGGTGTGAAACAGAAATAAGATTTTAAATAATTTTATTTGCTGAAGAGTTCTCTTTTATGAGATATACCATATAGTCCAGTGAAAATCAACATTCTGAAGGAATATATTGCTTCCTTCTTCAGTGTCAAAGTGTGAGCCAAGCAAGAAACCAGCATGAAGAAAGCAAAAAGCAGAGCGTGTTTGGCATATTATTCCTCGGCCCTGAAGAAAGAGGTGATATGTTCCTCTTAAATTTGGATTGACTTTCACTGGACTGCAGGGTGTCATGTCCAAGAAGATAGAAAACTCTTCATAGCCAGTGCTATGAGAACCTCAAATCTGACGATTTCATTCAGTGTTTGAAACCACAGTAGTCTTACAGAAACCATGCACTTGTCTAACATTCACGTTTTATTGGGATTGCATTGTTCTTTCATTTGGTGGGATCAGAAATCATCTTCAGGCTCTTGTGAACACATTGATATTTATGTGGACAGTAGTCTCCCCTAAGCCCTAGTGTCTCATAATAATACAGGGTTTTGTGGATTAGCTGAGTAACTGTTGAGTGCTGTAGTAAAGGTCTGTACCACAAAAGTAGATATATCTCACCAAAAATCAGCCTTAGCAATGTGTTTTGAATTATATGGAGTGTAAGATGAAAAATGTCCAGCATATCCAATATCAGGCTTTTGTGAACATAGTAATCAATCTTCATGTCCTTTAAAAGCAAGAAATTTTCTTACCACACCATAATGTAATTCACTTAGTTGTTTGGCTAAATACCAATACTGCATTGTATATAGAAATGTAAATGAAATAAAACTTTACAAAGTGTTTAATGAGTATTTTACTTTAGCTCCTATACACCAACCAGAATAGTAGTTTAACATGTTCCACACCCATGTCCCATCCCTTCTATCTTAATTGTCTGAAACACCTAAGCAACTGGTTGACTCAGTTTTGTTTTTGAGTACAATAATACAGTTGACCATGCAGCTCAGAAGTGGTACATGCAGAACCAGATTTTATGGATTTCTTGACACCTCCACAAAATTCTTGATGATAAACCTGAATTTTTATTGATTTTGATATAACACACAGAACTTTCTTAATACCAGGGAATAGAAGACTTGGCTTATCACCCTTAAACCAAACAGTGTAGGTTAGCCAACAATTTTACTGAACTGTGTGCTATCATGGAATATGACTCTTCTTTGCATGGATGTCATTAGCAAATTACCAGAAAGTGGCATGGCATGAGGTTCTTATTAACTGTTCTGTCACCTTGGAAACGATTTTATTGACCTCTGTTTGGTGTTGATGTCTGGACTGCATAGGGCTTCAGTTTCATCGTGTGTAAGATATATATCTTTAGAGAATCCAGTAAAACTGCAGTGGATTTGTCTGAAGTGGTAGTTTGCATTAACTGTGGTAACCAAGTTGTAATAAATGCCTACAGTGCATCTGTATCTAGAACATCTCAGTTGTATTTGTGTGGAAAGAGTGACATATATATGCAGTCACACATTTACATAACTTATTCTGAAAATGATTCAGTTAACTTTACACTTGTTACATCTTCATATGTATGAAATGATCCAGTCAGTAGACAGAAATGAACTTGTACATTGTGTAATTATGTAAGGAGGAGTTTTGCAATTTGTACCCTTCCTGTAATATCATTAGGATGATAAAATCAATGAAAATGAGATGAGTAGGAACGTATACCATATATATTGAAAATGAGAAATTAATATAAAATTTTGGTTGAGAAATCTCATTGGGAGATCCAGACACTGATGAGAATATATTGGTATTAGTGTGGATGTTAGAGAAATAGGGTGCAGACTGGATTGAACTGTCACAGAATAAGATCAATTGGAGAGTTCTTGTCAATATTGTAGTGAACCTTCAGGTTTCATTAAAGAAGGAAATTTCTCCACAAGCTGCACTACTTTCACCTCTCCAAGGAAGACTCTGTATCATCAAGTTAGTTATTTAGCAAAGAATGTCTTATTTAATCATTGCCACTGATTGACATTTATACCAGGGTGGGTTGTCTTATAACAAAGCCTTCTATCCTCCAACAAGAATGCCTCTTGTGTCTGTGTCCATCTTTTTCCTACTCTGATTTATGTATCTTTTCTTAGTCTCTTCAGCTTGTCTTTGGTGTCTCTAAAGACTATTTTATTTTCTATAGTTATTTCTTAAGATCACAGCAGAATTGTTGTAATCCATATGTAATATGTTTCCGTACTACTGTTTTGTTAATTTCAACTTTTATTGTACTGTTTCTGTTTTAAAATCTTGCCTAGTGTCCCAGTTTCAGATTTTATTCTGCCCTATTTACTGCTAAGTAATCTGTATGAGTTTTAGTTAAGCTTCTTGTACTATGCTTGCATCACTGATCTCATTGTTTACTTCCCTTTCTGTATGAACTGTAATGAGAATTATGTGTTTTAGTATGACCACTCATACATCTGATCCATCACTTTCTGTGTGCCACAGGCTCACCTGAGAGTTGTGCATGGATTGCCACAGCTCATCTCAGTGTCAAGTGCCCACTGTGTTCACGGGATTTTGTCAACAAATCAAATCTCAACATCCATATCCGGGATGTACATAGTGATGAACGAGGACCATTTGCATGTCCACAGTGTGGCAAACAAGTGAAGAATAGGAGCTGTCTTCGTGTACACATGTACCAGCAACATCGAAAAAAAGAGTCCTCTGGAAAGACTGATGTGGACCCTCTTGTTCTGCAACCTTGAGGACACACTTTCTGCATCAGAAAGAAAACATTATAATCCTCTTCAGTGTGAAATTTATCTTGGTTATGAAAAGTCACAAGGGAATATAAAGTGTAAATGTGGATATTGACACATTTCAAAATTGACATGTTTACTCTGATGTCAGATACCAGTGAAATTAGCCACACTGCCATGGTCACTCTTGTCCATTCCAGATATCTTCCTCAATTTCTTTAATCACTGACACACATCTACTAGCAGTATACATTTCTTCTGATGAGCATGGCCCTTGATGGACATACCTACTGTTCTAGCAGCAGGTGTATTAATGTGAAACAGAGAAATATTGAATCGAATCAGAACCAAAACTGTGTCCTTCATGGCTACTGGGTGAGAGTAAAAGTAATCTCATCGACCTTTGCCTATTGCCAACACTGAGAAAGTGTGGCCTTTATCTCCACGCTTCATACATCATCATGGCATTATGCCTAGGCACAGTGATATCTTTACACATTTATCTATTTCTTAATTTGTTTAATTCTGAAATATGTTTGTATCATTACATCATCTGAATACAGTTTTATTTAAAGCCTATGAAATACAGAAAGTAGGCTTAAAATTACCCTGTGTACACTATTCCAAAATCAGTTCCTTGGCATGAGTAGGAGCATGATGTAAGACTGTAACATAAAGAAACAGGATGTCAGGTTGTAGACTGAATTCATCTGGCTCAAGAAGGCTCAAGTACTGTGCTGTTGTGAACATCATAATGAACCTTGGGTTACATAAAATTTGAGGAATTTCTTGACTAGCTGAGTGACTGTTAGATGCTGCAAGATTCTGCTCCTTATCCTGGAAATTATATTTAATGGTGGTTATGGGATAAAAATACTCATAGAAAATTTCTGCCTTAAAATGTTAAATATTTGTTGAGGCATAAAATAAACATGTAAAATCTCAGAGTAGTTACTAGAAAGTTACATGGACATTTTGTTAATTTATTGACAGATACTAAATCTGAATAAAACTAAAGTGTTAAAATTTGATACAATTAATTGAGATAATATGTCTATACATTTAAAGTTTAATGATGAGATATTGCATGAGGAAACCCACGTTAAATTCTTGGGGTATTGAAATTGATAAGACCCTGAATTGGAAGTCACAGATTGAATCGATGCTGTCTAGATTGGGCAAGGCATGCTTTGCAATAAGAAACATGAAATTGTATAGCAATATTGAAACACTAAGGATGATTTACCACGCATACTTTCATTCAATTATGAAATATGGGATAGTATTTTGGGGAAACTCGTTGGAGGCTAAGAAGATTTTTCTTTTACAAAAGAAGGCCATCAGGATAATAATGGGAATGAAACCCAGAGAATCATATAGAACAGTTTTTAAAAAATTAAAAATTCTGACATTGGCCTCTCAATATATTTTATCTTTAATGATACTAATGATAAACAATTTGGGGCTTTATACGTTTAATCATACAATTCATGGTAAATGAAGAAGACAAGTTAGAAACCTACATGTTCCTCAATCACATCTAACAAAGAGGCAAAAAGGGGTCTATTGCATGAGTGTAAAAGTTTTTAATAGTTTGTCTGATTTTTTAATTGAGTTAGTACATAATAAAAAACAGTTTATTGGGAAACTAAAGGATGTATTGCTTCAAAACCCTTCTTATACCGTTAAGGAATTCTTGCTTTTCTGTCAAGACCTACAGCTAAGAAAAAGAGGCGTCTGACAGTGCACACTTCACTAAACGCTATGTCCTTGGCTGTGCTTATATATACTTGCTGCAATTTGAATTGCCTTTTAACTATTGTATGTGTTTTTGACAAGTATGGATTATATATGCTAGTGATGTTATTTGTGAATGTATAAGTGTCCAATGTTTTGTTTGCTTGTTGACATGTTTTATGTTCAGTGCCAGTGGCACATTTATGAATATTTTTAAACGCAAATGTATATGTATGTATGTATACTTTTTTTGGTACACAATTGATATCTCAGCCTTATATTGTTCCTGTGTCTGTTCATACAGATAGTAAGTTGACTTTGAACTGACAGTGTACAAGTTTCATAGCTACTTGCTTATGTATCTCTACTTCAAGCTTTTATAAAATATTTTTAAATTTGTATATATTTTTTTATATTGGCAATTAAATCTAGTGGCGTATTCAAATACTCAACCTTAATTATCATGAGAATGAAAGGCAGTTCATTTGACAGAATTTGCGAGTGTGATATTAGCATCGTCTGACAAACCTTTTCTCTAGCAAGAAGTGTCCATAAAATCCACATTGACTTCACATTTCTGTTTGGATGTAACAAGACAGAGCTGGTATATTTCTGTTATTCTTTAGTTAATCTGAAATATTTCCGGCTGATAAAATGATGGTTCAAGAACAAGAATTTTGTTTTCCATTTCTTTTTATGTTACATTTTCTCCAAATTATGTCATTCGCTGAATAGACCTTGACCAGACATCAGAAAGTGTGCTTACCATAGAATACTTGAACTTGGTGAAGTGTTATGACATTGCAACACAAAGAAACAATTATGTTCCAAAATTTCAACAGATAATATAGTAATGTCTCAATAAGTGGGAATTTACAATTTTTACCAATACAGTGTATGAGTAATATTCACAGAACAGATGTTGGAATTATAAATGTTGCGTTCTGAGCAGGTGAGAGTTTGATGAACAAAGACATAACATATTCCTGTTCATAGTCGTAAGAAATTGATGAAGTACATGCACTGTCAGGTTTTCTATATAGCAATCCCTTTACAAAACCCTCTGTTTTAAAAGGACCAGTGAATGGCCGTAGAATGCTATTTAAACTGCCAGAAAGGGTAAGAATGTCAAGAAGAGTTTTAACAGGTCATATGTGAGGGGTAATACAAGGGCTTTTCAAAGTCATTCTTGTTTATTAATGCCAAATTGGTTACAGTTTTCATTTACTTCTGATGCAAGTTAAGTCATATGTTCACAGAACTCATGTGAAACTGTACAGCAACTATTTCAAGAATGTTATTCATAGGTGTAACTGATACTAAGTAAAGTGACACTTGTGAGTCGCTTGCAGTGGTTGGTGATGTCAGGCAGCCATCTTATCCTCTTGACATTTTCTCACAGGGGAATGACCAAGGAAACAGAAGTTTAATCACTCTTGTTTGTACACCAGTCTGTCTCATCTCCAGAACACAGAACATGTGAAATTGAGTGTCATTCTGTTTCATGTTAATCATATCTTTGCAGATTTGCATGCATTAATGGAATCCTATAGAGACAATCCCAAAGAAGGTTTATGTTTAAAAATAATAAGTTAAATGGTGTAATTTAGTTAATAATGTTTCCTGGTTCATTTCTCTTTTTCATTCTTTTTACTTATTTAAAACTGTCCCCTGATTTGTTTTAGGTCTGGTATGAGCTGATACAGATTTTTTATGTTCCTTCCTAAAAGATCTTATTTCCACAATATAAAATATTAGACATTGGACCATACCTACAACTTGTTGAATGCCCTCCCAAATTACAGTGTGGCTGTAAATTGAATTATTTAGTGCATGTAAGTCCATATTTAAGACATGATTAGTAATTAATATCTCTCATATAAATGTATGCTTTGAATAGCGGTTTCTGAAGGTGTTTGAAGGATAAGTTATTTGTTTAATTAATTTGGGGGGGGGGGCACATGATCATCATTTAGGAGAAGCAGCTGTTGTGTCATATATTTTTAAATTGATATTTGAACCCAAAGTGAAAGGAATGTAAATCAAAGCCATAACACTTTAAGTTCTTTTGTATTTTAACTTCCTAAAATATTGCATTGTGTAATGCATAGAGTAATGCCAGTGACTCAATATGTGAATTATAGAAAGAAAAAATTGCTGTTTGCATCGTGTTCATGTTTAGTACAGAATAGTAACTCAGAGCTAATCAAAACTAAATATTGATTTATTATAAACGATTGTACATTTTAAATTAGCTCATTAAACATCTGTTACATGGTGATGGGAATGAAACAGAAAATTCCTTTCTTCATGTGTGAATGTGTGTGTTGTTCTATCTGTGCAAATGTGTATATGGGTGTGTGTCTGTTAATAGATACTGAGGTAATTGTGTATGAAGTGGTTACTGGGTGTGTTTAATTTTTTGGAAGACCAAGGTTAGTGCTCCGGTTCTGGAAATTATGGTACAGGAAGAGGAGAACAGGGTCCTGATTTAATTAATGATATCTTTTTTAACTGCAGTGACTAAATTTTGTTGACTGAATAATGAATTGGACAGGATATAACAATGACATATTTGTATGTACTATTATAATTTTTCCAGGAGAAACTGAGGAAAACTTGTCAGGATATCCAAACTCCAGGCAAAGACTGAACCCCAGGAATGCATTTCTTGAATAAATTCTAGTTCATATTATTAATTTTTTACACTTAACCACTCCATCCTTTCCTTCACATAGGTCATTGGTAATAGAAAATTGGTCTCCAGTGGAATACACATGTTTTTCTGAATGTATTCATAGTAGTTTTTAATTTATGACCAGTACAGGTATATTATGACAGATGTAAACTGACCGTTATGAAGCTAATCACACAGAATGGAGTCAGAATTCTTTTCCTTGTATTTTGTTAGTATACATTATGTTGGATGATTGAAACAAAAGTTATAGATATGAGGTTTTCACAGTGGTAACCACAGAGAGATCTTATGAAACTTTACCGACATTTTGGAAAATCGTACTGTCGCTAATTTTCAGGGTTGAGGTGTAAGTCAATCAAGGAAATAAGCAAATAACAAGCTGAGTGAGCTACACATGGAGAAAGTGCTACTGGTACAGCCCAAGTTTATGTATACCTCCCATTGGTCAGTCATGCCACTATTTCTTCTGTCCTCTGCCATCGCTATACTCAGTAAAAAGAACGGCTCATCTTTGGGCCTCCATTCTTTTACTCTTCTCATTGTTCCTTTGGTTCACTTAAGGCTCCTACCCTGGCCTGTATCCATACCACTTTTCCCATGCATGCTCACTCTGCTTGTCCACTTTCTTGGCTTACTTTTTAATGCTGAAGAAGGAAGTAGTACATTCAACAATTTTTAATGTGCACCCCCCTCAACTCTAATCATAGAAATCCATCATGTAGTTTCAGGGATGGAACATGCTGGTAGACAGCATGTATTTTCATTTATGCACTTTTTTATGAAGAAGGCATACAAAATTAATACTGTATAATGCCACAATGAAATATATATGATTCTTATTCACATAGACTTTGTAACAAGTATGGTGATTATGACTGTAAGTAAAGAGTTATATTTTCTTGGATGAAATATGGTGTAGTCCTGTAAAAGCCAACCATGGAACATGTCACCCTGAAGATGTTGACTTTCTCCATACTACATGGCATTATATCCCAGAAGATAGAACTCTTCATAATCACTGCTATGAGAACCTTGAATCCTCATCATTGTAAATGATTATTCTTTATTTGGCATGTATAATTATCATACATTTAACTTATATAGATCTGATTTCATAAAATCTGTTCATCATTGCTTCAAATTGATAAACCATGAAAGATTAATCAGTGAAGTTACTGCAGGCTGCACAGCCAGGATTCCTATTAGGGGGGGAGTCTTTCTGTGAGTCGCCACCTCATACCACGACACAATAACCTTACCAAAGATTTGGTGAATCACTTCAAGGTGTATCCCTTGTCAACTTAACTTCCTGACAAATCCCTATACAATCAAACTAGTATTGGATTATTTTTATATCTGGAGAGTAGTTTCTCACTTAGACAATGATGTATCTTAATTGTATAAAATAATTTTATTGAAATATATCAGTTCTTCTTTAATCATTAAATCTGCTATCAGCTGTCATGATTTGTAGAGCTTGCTCTTGACTTTACTTAGCTCTTTCCTTGCCTTGAACAAGATAACTTGCTCAGAAGTGCTGATCACTTCTGCTGTGAAGAATGTTAGTGTTTAACAGTGTTAGTAGAATGAAGATCCCTCCCATCATCATCATCCTCCATTGACATTTCCACTAGGGCAGGTTTTGGCAATCCCTCCCATTCTTTTCTCTTCTTCCATAAGCCCACATTTTGTAACTATGTCCTCTCTCCTTTCATAATCTCTTTAATATATCTTCCTTCAGTGTGTCTGCTGTGGTTATTTATTTGCCATCATCATTTTCGATGTCTCAGAGGAATCCCTTTGTCATCAATGAATGTTCATATTTACATTTACAGTGAAACCACACTTAACGAGCACCTCTCATAACGAGTAATTTGCATAATGAGCAAAATAAATTGTAAAAAAATGACTTGCTTAACAAGCGACGTTTCACATAACGAGTGACAAAGGGGAAGTCCCAGATTGTCCGCTTGCTACATCAGTCTGTGTTTAGCACTCGTTCCGCTAGCATCTTAGTGTCGCTTGTGATCACACATTTTTCCCAACTTGTGTTCAGACATATTATTTGTGATTTTTTTTTTGTACAAAGTTTAATAACCCTTTCAAAAATGTCCCCGAAGAAAAATCCACAAAAAGACAGCCATAAGAGAATAAAAATGACCATAGAAATGAAACGTAAAATCATTGAAAAGCAAGAACGAGGTGTGAGCGTGGCTGATCTAGCACACACATACAGTCGGTCTACATCAACGATTTGCACTATCCTCAAGAACAAGGACAAGATTAAGGAGACAGATGCTTCAAAGGGAGTGACAAGAATATCTGCGCAACGGTTACGTATTCTCAATGATGTTGAAAGGTTGCTCCTCATATGGATAAACAAAAAGCAATTGCAAGGTGACACTATTAACGAGAACATAATTTGTGAGAAGGCAAAAGTGATTTT